TGGCCGCCCCGGGGAGCCGGCCCCATATTTCCCCGATTTGGTTGAGAAATTTTGAGCGCGAAAAAAACGAGCCAAACGAGCTAGCTCGTCACGAGCTCGGCGAGCCAGGAAAAAAAATTATTTTTATTTTTTAAAATAATTTTAAAAAAGATTTATCAAATTTTAATATTTTTATTATTTTAAAATATATTAATTATTGTTTTTAAATTATTTTTATTATATTTTTTATTTTTTATTTTTTTTCCTGGCTCGCGAGATCGAGCGATTTGGTCCGAGCCTTGAATTTCTCGACCCGAATAAAAATGGGCATAACGAGTTGGGCTGAAAATGAGCTGGTTCGGAACGAGTTGGTCCGATCTGGTCCGAGCCTGGCTCGTTTGACATCCCTAGGTCCTATTGGGCTTGGGAGTTAGCACAGTGAGAAACGTGTGATTAAAACGATGTTGATGTTGATGTTCTAGATGCACGTTAGATGAGTAATAGCATTCAGAGAAGTGTTGTCTCTTCCTTGCTTCTGTATTCTCTGTTTTAATCAGCGAATCTGAGAAATTTCCTGCATTTAACTTAATCAACCAAAATTAAAAGTTCGAGTTCTTGAAGACTCTTCTGTGTCAATCAAAACCAACTTCTGTGATGGATAACAGAGTGCAGCACAGTGAGAAACCTGTGAGCAGCATTGGAGCCAATCTAGCCCCTGTCCCGGCTTGCAGGGAAGACTTCTCAAGGATGAAGCTGACATCATTTGACAAATTGCTAGAGCAGACATGTAGCTCAATAAAGAACGTGAGGCTTTGCAGTGAACCAGACCAGAGGCCAGGTGGTAGCTCTGGAAGTTCCAGTGTGGCTCCTGATGCAGCGTAATTTATCCCATCCCTCTTCAGAAATTCGTTTTAGGCCTTGTTGTAATTCAAATTGATGGATGGTGGCTAAATACCAACTAGAATATAGAAGTCCACCCAAAATCAGAAAAGAAATCAGGAACTTTGTGTGTTTGTTATGACCTTCTTATTGTGATGTGTGAACAGGGAAATTCAGCTAAAGAGCCCCAATTGGTTGTTTGGTCAGAGAAAGCCGGAAGAAAGCAGCTCTGCTGCAAAAGCTAGCATAGAAGAGAGTGAGAGTGGAGGAGTTCTGAGTGAGAGAGTGGATGATTTCTGCAACTTGAACTGGCTTTCTGAGTCCAATGATCATGAAGAAGATATATACCAGAGGTAACACCTCATTCATTTCATTTCCTCCTTTATTCTTAATGAAACCCTATTCTTTGTTTTTTAAGTTTGGTTTGGGGGATGGGGTCAACAATATCAGGTACATGTGGATAACATCAAGCAAAGAAGCAAACGGATGGTATGGAGGAACACTCATGGGGGACCAAGATGAGAACAGTGAGGTGTACAGACACTATGCTGAGCTCTGTCATCAGGTAAAGAGGCCTTTGTAATCTTTTCCCCCCCAAAAATCTCTATGTAGCAATGTATGATTTTAAAAAGGAAAAGGAAAAAAAAAACAGGGAGAGGGAATGGAGCCGTTTGAGAAGGATAACGAGAGAGAGAAGCACTACGAAGAGGTGGTGGGGATGGAGGAGGAAGGGGAAGGTGAGGCAGAAAAGGAGATGGGAGAGATAATGAAAGAGTATGAAAAGATAGGGAAGGATATGGGCATCATTCCCTCCCAATGCAAATCCTTTGCCATTGACCCTTGTTGGCTCTCCCGCTGGCTCGTCCTTGACGACACTCTCCCCCCCAAGTTTCTCTAAACCCCCTCCTCTCTCCTCTTCTATTCTATATATCTATTTATGTATAATTGTGTTGGTTGGTTTGCAACTTGGCGGTGTGATTGATGTGGTATGTGACTGCCAAGTTTTTGTTTATAACCTGGAATTTTAACCAATTAATACCTATTCATTGGCAGTGTGTACGTACGGACTGATAAATAGATGTTAAAATTGGGTCAATTTAATTATGAATTCGACCAGATCTGAGTCCAGGAAAGCCTTCTTACATGCTCAACCAGGGGCCTGTTTTAGAATTTATTCAACACAGGAGACGGAAATGGAGGGTACATTAAGATTTGTTGGCCGGAGGCATAAGAAAGAAGAGCGGTGTCTCCAACAAAGATGAAGTCGGATCATATTCACTCAGGTTCTCTCTCTCTCTCTCTCTCTCTCTCTCTCTCTCTGTCTCTCTCTTCTCTTACATCCATGGCGCTTCCCATTCGACTTTTACTCATTCATTGGGGTGTCTAATTGTCTCATCAGGGCTTTGACTGAGATGTTGTCATTGTCTTGCTGATTAGCAATAGCATCTTGGGTCTTGCAATGACAATTAGTTTCCTGTCCGATCAACAGATTCATTGATAATACAAGAGAGCCAAGGGCCTGATGTAAATTGGTTTCGAGTTGCTTTTATTTACATGAATGATGCATATTCTGAAAAGAATTGGCTTTCTTATTTATTTCACTAAAATAGAATCTGAGAGCCAGCCCCCACTGGAGCTGCAGTGTATGCAATTGCTTATATCTTCTCTTCTTATACACGCTAATTACAATGATGTTTTTATTTACCATCTCACTCTTTTTTCTTACAGCAGCATGTCTGACTTGGCTGGTAATCTCTTGAAGAAATTGACAGGTACTGAAGGCATCTTGCTTCTGAACCGCGGATGACGCAGCATGTACAACCCTACGACAATTGCAATCACCTGGAATGGTGTGACATAGATAAACACCGCCCATATCAACGACAAGATTATGAATATAGTCGTGGCCCTCGGGTCACGCCAGCTCAGCAGTGCCTGTGCTCTCTCCCCTTGGGTCGCCAGGTCTCCCACCACTGTCTGGACCCTACCTGCTACGCTCCTCAGCCTGTCATACCTAAATCTGACAATGTCCGATTGTTTACTGCTGGGGAATGTGTCAAACTCCTCATCTAACTCATCCGGATGCGCACGGTCTGCTTGGGACAGATGAGCATCCATGTGAGGAGGATGCCTCGGCCTGAACCGGTAGTTCCACACACCAATCACAAAGAGGTAGAGGAAGATCGTTGGCAAGATCAATTCTGGGTAGCAAACGAGGATCAAGAACAGGACGTGAACCAGACACGTTGTGATTGGGTTTCTCCATGTGCAGATATCGTTGAACCACTTGCAGACCAGAGTGACAGACGAGAGAAGTGACATAATCCTGGTAAAATTGGCTTTGCTTCTCCTGAGACTGAACATGTTGTAGTCGACGTCAAGCATGTACTCCACAATCTCACGCCTCAGAGGCGGTTCGGCTCTCGCCAGCCTGGCTGCAACTATCTGCATCGCCTGGTGCCTCAACAAGTCGATGTGCCTTACGGGTATCGGTTGAACATAATGCATCTTCGGCAACAATGGCTTTCCGTATTGTGCCACCATGTTTACCCAAGCGGTGCAGGTGAACCTCAAAGCCAATTGAAGCTCACCGTTCTTCTTCAGACCAGATGGTGTAAGAACCAACAACGGATAGAAATGAGTGTAAACCCTCTCGGTTTCCAACGTAGACAGCCGCACTCTCAGCTTCCCGATCCTCTGGTCCCTGGCATCACCACTGCCATTGATGTGAGTATTGTCAAATACGCCAATGGTTATGACAGTGCATGGATCAAAGACCTCCCAAGTGTATTGCTCATTCCATCTAGGCGTGAGTGTGTCAAGAAGAGTCCTCGTCCTCACCCATTTGTTGCCATATTTTGCAACACAGTACGCATCCGTCGTCTTCCCTTCTTTACCTTTCATCGGCATCAAGTTCCGGGCACTGAGAATCCCAAGCTCCAAAATTCCAATACTTGGCTTCCTTAGATGCTTTGAAGATGGCTGAAGATTGCTGCTGAAGTGCGTCGATTCATCAAGAACATGGTACCCCGCTTCTAGATAGATCCTTATGAGGATCTTGCTGGAGAACCTCTCCTTTTTCTTCTCTGTCTCTTCTTCCATGGCCAGAGATGGCCTCTGAAGATTCAGCCACCGAGGCTCGGGCATTTTGCTCGTCTCGTGCCTCATGGGAACGTCTCTGACCAGTACAAAAACCCTCCCTAAAATCTCATCTTTCCCTGGACCAACCCTATCATCCACCGAAATGACAATTATATCCTCAAACGGTTCAGACACGACGAACATGAGTTCGTCGTGCCATTGTGGGTTCATCGTCCGCATCTGAGCAGTTCTTGTGGCTTTCATTTGATTCCCCGCCTGCACCTTGACCACTGCATCTGGTGCTCGCCCCTTTTCGGAGGGCATAAGATCCTGAGCCTCTATTATATGCACCCTGAGGTAATACAACTTGGGTGAGAAGTAAACCTTAGACCTCGTATTCGCGAGGTTTGAGTGGCTCACGCTATGAGCGTCAGAGTGCCAAGCCTCGGGAAAAGACTCATCGGCCTGAGTCCCCATCCACACAGCTAACATTATCTCTCCTCGGTTCGTCTTCATGCCTTTCTTGTCCTCGAGCTTGTACCACTGAGGAGCCAAAGGACTGTCTGGTGGAACCCGAAGAGGAACTTCCGCGAGATCGATGTGCACTCTTCCAACGAAATCGTCTTTAGTCACAACATCTTTGTCCTTGACGGTGACTTCAAGCAGATTCGATTGTAACCTGTCTCTGGAGAAGGCAAAGATCTGTTTCCAGACAGGATTTTGGTTCTTTTCCAAGTGTTTTGTAACTCCTTTGTAGTTGCCGAGCTTCACTTCCACGTAAGGGTCGAGACTGCCAGAGACGTCCATCACGGGAAGGTCACGGGCCTTCACGACGTTAACGTAGAGGTAATGCATCCGCTCGACCAGGTCGTACGTGCTTGATGTCTTGTCTCCACTTCGGAAGTAGTACGCTTGACGCATACGGGCCGCCAGTGGAGGGTTTGTCTCCACCAGTTGGAACTCCAGGTTCTGCCTCGGCACCTGCATCTGCATCACGGCCATCGCCGGGCCCGGAGCCCTCATGAAATCCGCTCCGAACTGTGGCGGAGGAGGAGACGCCTTGCCGATGGAATGGAACGTCCTCGTTTCGCTTTCTTTCTTCTTCTTCGGCTTTTTCGTCTCGATGTGAACTTCGTCGGCACCAGCGTTTCTGTCGATTTCTGCAAACGGGTTTTCATAGGTCTCGAAATGATTGGCCTCCTCGTCCGCCGGCGTTGGCGGGGTATAATTGGAGCCGAGAACATAGAGTCTGAGGGAGATGTCGCCTTTGATGTGGGAAAAGAGGCCGCGTTTGTCGAGAGGGTACCTCTGGACGGTGGCCTCAGATTCCGACAAAGGAACGGAGAAGCCGGAGACCCGGACACGGCCGAGGAATTTGCGGTGGGGGTGGTCGTAAACGACAACTTGGATGGTCTTGTCGGGGAGATGCCTGGGGTGGGCGATGTGGAAGAGAAGCTTCTCGTTCCAGTGAGGGTTGAGATCATTGTGACGCGTCTGCGTTCTCTGACGCTGATCGTCGAAATCGACTTCAGCGAAGGGACTGGCGGAGCCTTCCCCGTCTCTGGCCTTCAGATCGGTGGCCCCCACCACTTCCACCACAAGTTTGCTCATCTCCGACCGTCGGAAAGAGATATGCCGGCGAAGAACTCGGAACTGGGTTTGATTGGTGGAAAAAAAAGAAGACTTGAGTGTAAAGGAGAAGACATAAATTATGGAGAGAGATGAATCATGAGAACCGAAACAGAAGGAATGAGGTTATCATCTCTCTGTGTTTTGTTTGGTGAGGAGTGTAAAGACAGGAACATATGGTATGTTTCAAATTCAAACACGGGGGGAGATGGAGACGTGACGTCATGGAGTCAATTCTTACGAAGGCCAACCGTACCATTAATGCAGTTCTTGATTACTTTTAACAATATCAAGACGAGCTCATATCTTCACCAACAGTATGTTAAACCTCCATATTTTACATGCGTTGTTATATACGCACCATATGCGAGAGGATTATTATTTTATGATTTTTTATTATTATTATTTTATCATATCAATCTTCATATAATGACATGTTAATTAGTATGTGACAAAAAAAATATCACTATTTTAATAATTTGTTTATGTGTGATATAGTGGTGAAGTGGGGCTACAATATAGGGATAAGAGAAAATGTGCATAGAGAGAGGGGAATTTGATCAATCACATTCATTGATCATAAAAACATATATATATATATATATATATATACATACACACAAAACAAATTGCTGATATTTCGGTATTCTATAATTATGTGCTAAATGAGAAGTTTGATAGTTTATAATTGTTTTACAAAACTCATAATTTAAAATCTTTACATATAAAAAAATTACCAAACATTGAATTAGTGACCTACGTACAACTCTTCAACGAGATAATTGAAACCTCAGATAAAACGTTCTGGAAGCCAAATCGGAGAAGTTGTTAGATAAAAATAAAGACAATAAATATTTGTTATTTTTTATTTGGAGTTTCACTCTAAAGTCAACAATTTGCTCCTTAGGATTAGGAGCTAAGTTTCTTTTTATTACATCTTTAATGGACACCACCACCCCTTTTCTGTTCTGCCCTTAATAGTGTCAATGCTCATAAATGTATTTGACAATTTCTGATAACGAGGTTTCGACGTTTTAACCGAATTTTAATTCATCGCCTCATTCTATGGAAAAATATGTCTGTAGTCGTATTTACATTGACGAATTATCAAATAATAAAATAATGTTTGTTATGAAACATTACTTACATAAAAATAACACGTGGCAGTATTCGATAGGATTAGAAAGCAGATTCGGAGATGCTTCCATTACACTGCGTTCCATGAGCTCAACAGTGAGTGACCGACTTTCATGTCTTCTTTCGTACGACCACCAGAGACAAAGTTACTTCACTCGCGCTCTCTCTCTGTGTTTTTTTTTTTTTTTGCATGGATTAAGTAAAAACAAATACAAAAAATAATAATATTTCGTAATACGGAAATATTTGTTTGATGTGGTTATCTATATAATGACCATACCATATGAAAGTAAACATTTCGTAATGCTATATGTATATATATATATACATAATATTAATGCCATATCCGTATGCGTACAATATTGTTGGGGATACATAATGCGGTTGGTGAGGTGAGGAGTAAAGAGAAGAAAATATGTTCAACGATATAATAATAGTAATGACCAATAATATATATAAAAAAAACAAAGATATCTACATACATGTATATATATGTGTGTGTATTTGCTTTTTGCCTTTGGGTTTCTTGTCAAAGAGCATCGAAGCCACATGTAATATATCACATGCCACCCTTGTTCATTATTTTTCTCCGTCTCGCTTTTACTTTACGTGGACATATCATATCTACTTTAATATTTTCATGGGCTGTATGTATATATATATATATACACACAGTTTCAATGAAGAAGAATATTTCAAAAATATAGATATGCGTATGTATCATTTTTTTGAGATCCACTTGCCACAACAAATCACCAATTTACATATGCATTTCCCTTTCGAAGCACATCCCCACACACGACCCTTCACTTCTTTTGCAAAAGCACGTTCTATTTCTGGTTTTATTTCCATGAAAAGAATATTCTCTCTCTCCAGCAGAATTTCGGCGTAATATGGGCCCGAGCTGAAATCCATTTCCCCGGTTTGGGTCTGAATGGGCCCATGATTCTTTCCGCCCAGCAAATCCAACTCATGGTGGCAATGTTTTTTTTTTTTATAATTATTATTATTATTAAGAGTATATGTTTGTTTTAAAAAAAACAAGTTTCTAATCTCTTGTGTGTTGGGGCTCTTTGCGTTACTCTTCAACCACGAAGCATAGAGGAAGTCCCCGTCTCAATCCACACTCTGAGGGGAAAAACAAAGCTCCTTCTTTTAGTTATTTGTCTATCACACAGATAAAAATATAGAGAGACATGGCATGCTACATGTTCAATCCAAGGGAAAATGGCAACAAGGATCACAGAAACCACAAGCAACCCATTGAATTCCCTCCTTTAAAAGAAAAAAAGAGGAAAATAAAAAACAAGCAGATAGAAACCGCTGTATATGAAGGGGCTAGGCGGACATCAGGCAAAGACTGTTTACGGCCATGGCCGCTTCCACCCTCTCAGTGACGGCCTTGATCCTCTGCTCCAGCACACGGGCTGCCACGGCAAGCTCCTCCGAATAATCAGCATCTATCAGGTCATTGTGGAAGACAACCAACCCCAGCTCGTAGCAACGGTTCTTCTTCTGCTCTCTCTCCAGCTCTCTCTCCATTTTACCAATCATCTTCTGAAGGAATCCCCCCTGGTCCAGCATGTTCTTGGTCTGTTTCGCTGTTGGGAGCCTGTGGAGCCTGTCCAGAATAGCATTAGCCTCACGCCGGTTTGGCCATACCTCTGCCTCATCGTCGTTGTAGTCGCTGTAGATGATAGCACAGGCAGGGATGCCACAGAGAATGGTCAACTCAGAGAGCTTCTTGAACAACCCAACTTTCCTTTTCTTGAATGTAACACGACGAATGGATCCATTGCGGATCAGTTCATGATTCAACTTTCCCCTTCCCATTTCACAAACTGAAAAAAAAAGAGCCCTGCAGACTGAGGATGATGATTGAAAAGGTGTTCAGGTGTGTGTTCCAAGACCCGTGAAAGAGAATCTTATATAGACTGATTACGAGCTCGATACCGTGGGCCGCACGGTCCTTCCGAGTATAGAAAGGAGGTGGAAAATACAGATATAAGCGTTCATAGCTAAATATACCCAGTAAACATGAGGATTTCCTATACAGGAGCCTTCAGGTTCACACGTGTCACATGCTGGCTGGCGACTGGACCTGCTAAGAAGGAAATAATGCCTATCATTTATCAATGGCTAGATTGTTTTCCATTTTGAGCAAACCCAAGTTTTATATTATACCAGTGCAAAGGGGATAAGAGTTGACACGGGCATAACTTACGTAATAAAACACATATTTATGTATACCTATATATGTATATACAGTAGGGAAAACAATAGATGAAACAGGATAGGGTTTAAAATTGGAAACTAGCATCTGCATAAGCGGAAAGGAAAAGAAGAACATGACTCCTATAAAAAGTATGTAAAGGGTTCCAAGAATTGTGAGACACAACTCAACTAAATATTGATTATTGACAAGAGAGCAGAAGCTCAAATTTCTCTCCCCCTGAGCAAAAGAAGAAGCGTCCATTGGAATCTCACATGTTTACCATTTTGCAATTCAACCTTTTTTTTCATGTAATAAATAGAAACTTGCAGCAAGCTACTTGTTTACCATGTCTTCTTTGACATAAAAGACAGATGCCTCTCCCTCTCACTCACGTAGTCGAGAGGATTAATGCACCTTATGAAATCGATCACCAAGTAAGCAAGCCAAGATTGTAAGGAGATAGAACAGAAGATCGGATGAAGAAGTAAATCTTCTCCGGACATAAACAAGAACCAAAAACATCTTTATTACTTGTATAGTTTTCTATAGATTTTGTAATCTTCTCCGGATAGAGCATGAAAACTGTAAACGGGCATTGTGAAATTGATAATCTGGGTAAATAGAAGCCAGCAGCAAGACTAAAAGGACATACATGAACACGACCAAGAACCATCGAGTTCATATAATGTGCCAGAGACTTGAACTACAAGAATCTATCTATGACCTCTTACCAGCCATTAACCCGCAGAATCAAGTAGAACCTCAAAATCTCGTGGCGTACTCACAGGTGAGCCAATTAGCTACTCTTGAAAATAGTAATCTAAAGAAACTGTGAACACGAAATCTAACGCACATACCAAAAAAAATTCTAACGGAACACTGAACGGAGACACGAGAATCAAATTTCGAAAACTCACACATTCGACATCGGAGACTCGGTTCTTATCCATCTCCAACTGCATCCGCGTGGAAGCCGCCGACCTCGGTTCCACCGTCGAAGCGATAGGACGACCGGTGACTATGAAGATCGACGAAATGCGTGATCGGCGACGTCATCAATTCGTTTTAGGTTCGAGAAACGGACTTTTTTGGGCTCATAAATCGAAACTATATAAATAAATTAATTGGCCCATTGAGTTTCATGCCTTGTGACGGGCCAGGTTCGTTCAGCCCATTCCATTGCCTGCCATGTACAATTTTAATTTAATTTGATTCAGAGGTTTTTACGCATAATTCATTTGCAGAAGAATATGCTATCTTTTTTTTAGAACGCTCGCAGGTAAATCGTGCTAATTTTGTATGGTAAGAGCCAACAGATTATTCTATTTCCGTATATCAGACCATATACGTGATGCTGTTACTTTATTGGTTTTGGTAATATCGTTCATTAGATACTAACATAAAATATCATTTTAATTTCGAAACTATTTGTTTTTCTACTGTAGATATTTTCAATTTTTTTAATACCATAGGCGTGTTTTCAAAATAAATGCAACTTTTTATATCTCATATAACGATGCAAATAATAACATATATAGTGTGTGTGAAAAAACATAAATTTGGCCGGATGAGCTTGGGCTGACCTTGCTTATATGATTAAGATGTCACAAATGCAAGTGGTGGGTGAATGTGGATTTATATACAAAACGCAACCGATATAATACTCAGACAGAATACATTGGTTGATACACATTTTGTTCAAAAGAAAGAATAACGGCTCCTAGGAATATTCAACTTTGTGCCGTTTTTCCAAGAAAAAAGCGGCAGGTTGTCTCTACAAATGATGTGAAAACGGCGCGTGGTTACATCAACATGTTTTAACATAGAGATAGAGGGTTAGACATTTCTGTTTTACATTATACTTTTATTTACATCTTTTCTTCAGGCATGTAAATTTTTTTTGTTGTTGTTGTCATTTATACGCAGATAAAAATAAGAGACTTGCCATGGAAACCGATTAATATAATTATATAGATGGATTTTAAATTAAATATACTAAAAACAAACAATAAATTTTTAAACCGAAACGAAAAAGCGTGCCTTTTTTTTTAACAATGTTTTCTATAATATTATTTATGTAAACTAAATGCTTAATTCGTATCTGGCAATCAAATCATTTGTTGAGATTAAGAGGGCAAAAAACAGCTAAATACAGGATATATATAAAATGAAAGAGGTGGGTGTAATAATGGGGAGGGCAGCCAACAACAGCTTTGCCTGCTTTGCTTTTGACATAAGCAACCGATTTAAGGGATAATTGACGCACAAAAGACTTTAGGAATTTTAATCTTTTTTATTTGCACATGAACACATTTATATTCTTCCTCTTCTTCATTTTTTTTTTTACTACATATTCTCCCAATATTGGTATTATCTCTAAAATGTGTGCATGTATTTGGTATTATACGCTTGTGATTCTTGTTTATGATATTAAACAGCGATTCATGAACTCTGGATGTTAAGATTAAAAATCATGCAAATGTTATTAAATAATCAATGTAATGTGGTAATTAATGTCTCAAGTGATGAAAACACGCATGGTGGCAATCATCATCATCATCGCGAAACCTTCTTTTGGCAACGTATATAAATAAATACCAAACTCGATTATGAACCACTTTTGTACAAGTTCCCTGTTTCTTTCTCTAACAAATACATATTTATGTTTTAAAAAGCATTCTAAGCCTAAGTAACTTGTTCGGTAAGCTTTCAAATTTGGCAAAAGATCCCGCAAACTTTGGGATTACCAAAAACAATGGATAGGTCATTAAACCATATACATATCAATCGGCAGAATCCTCGAGGACGATGATAGATGAAAAAAAGGGAAAGAAAAAGAGAATATATTTCAAAGAATCCAAAAAGGAAGAATGGACAGTCACTGTAATCAGAATAACGGCTGATTAATAGCAAAGGCTTTTATCCATGTCTCATTACACAACCCATATACATAACTATCTACAAAGATTTCCATGTATTCTTTTTCCACTGACAAATTGTATTCGAATCATTCATCATAAAAACAAGCTTATAATATTTAAATAAGAAAAACTGACATGATTTAAACTATGTTCTAAAATTAATCAAGGAATCGAACCGGCTGATTTTGTGAGGTGTGTGGGACCCACAGTCAGGGTAGAATGAGCTGTCCACCTCCCTCCACTCTGTTCCCTTTTCTTGCGTTACCTCTCCTCCCCCCTTCCCTTTTTTATACACACACTCTCTCTCTCTCTCTCTCTCTCTCTCACATCATCCTCTCTCTCTCTCTCGTCGTTAAGAAATTAGACATGGCTCAGGAAGAGACCCAGAAACCTGCCGCAGCCGCTACTTCTGAGCAGGGTGGTCCCGCCCCATCTCCGACGCCTCCTCCACAACCGCCCCCGCCGAACGAGGAAGCTCTGGTTATCCAGAAGGAGGTCTCGGCCCCTGCTCCGGTGGAGAAGCCGGTCGCAGATAAGGCAGTGGATTCGCCGGTTCCAGAGGCTGAGAAGCCTGCAGTTGTGACGGCGGAGGAAGGAACCGCTACTGTGGAAGCGGAGAAGCGAATTGTGCACTCGGATTCGTTCAAGGAGGAGAGCTATGTGGCCTCGGAGCTGCCCGAACCTCAGAGGAAGGCGCTTGAGGAATTCAAGGAGCTTGTCAGAGAGGCTCTTAACAAGCGCGAATTCACAGCTCCGGCGAAGGAGGAGGAGAAGAAAATAGAGGAAGAGACAAAAGAAGAAGAAAAGAAGGAAGTGACTCTAGCACCGGCTGAGACCAAGCCAGAGGAAAAACCGTTTGCTCCTGTGACCACCGACACGAAGAAAGAGGAGAATTCGGCTGTACCGGTGGAGGAGGAGAAGCCGGCGGCTCCTGCACCAGCACCGGCTGAAACCAAGCCGGATGAGGAACAGCAGGCTACACCCGCGGCGGCAGTGACCAAGGCAGAAGAGGATAAGCCGGCGGAGTCGTCAACCATAACAATCGAGAAGGCCTTCGCCGCTGACGAGGACGGCGCCAAGACCGTGGAGGCGATCGAGGAGACGATCGTGTCCGTCTCTGCTCCGGAGACCACCGCTCCTGCCACAGCCGACGAGGCTTCCGCGGCGGAGGAGCCGGTGGAGCCAGAGGAAGTCTTAGTCTGGGGAGTTCCTCTCCTCCAGGACGAGAGAAGCGACGTGGTCCTCCTCAAATTTCTCAGGGCTCGTGACTTCAAGGTCAAGGAAGCCTTCACCATGCTCAAGAACACCGTCCGCTGGCGTAAAGAGAACAACATCGACGAGCTTGTGGGAGAAGACCTCGGAGGGAGCGATTTCGAGAAGATAGTGTTCGCGCACGGCGTGGACAAGCAAGGACACGTGGTGATCTACAGCGCCTACAGCGAATTCCAGAACAAGGAATTGTTTTCAGACAAGGAGAAGCTGAACAAGTTCCTGAAATGGAGGATTCAGTTCCAGGAGAAGTGCGTGAGGGCTCTTGATTTCAGCCCGGCCGCGAAGTCGTCGTTCGTGTTCGTCAGCGACTTCAGGAATGCACCTGGGCTTGGGAAGAGGGCTCTGTGGCAGTTCATCAGACGCGCCGTCAAGCTGTTCGAGGACAACTACCCTGAGTTCTCCGCCAAAGAGGTATGTAACCATTTCAAGTAATTTCCCTGTGTATATATATCAAAGCTGTTTGGATTTTAGTGTTGCAGATAGGATTACGAGGTGATTTCTTGACAAGGGCGTCGATATTTGTGTCAGAATTTTTTTATGGTTGTTTCATTTTAGTATTGTTTTGTATATTTTCAGCTGTTCATCAATGTTCCATGGTGGTACATTCCATACTACAGAACCTTCGGGTCCATCATCACGTCGCCTAGGACCAAGAGCAAGATGTTCCTCGCCGGTCCATCCAAATCGCCCGACACCATTTTCAAGTAAGCAAACATTACACCCATCGGATGCATTAATATAATGTTTCTAATTGGGGCATACTCCTCAATGTATACATCTGTTATTGGCTGGAACAGACACATAGCTCCTGAACAAGTCCCGGTTAAGTACGGTGGATTGAGCAAAGAGAGCCACTCCGAGTCACTCTTCGCCACAGAAGAAACCGTGACCGAAGCCATCGTTAAGCCCGCAGCCAAATACAGCATCGATTTGCCTGCTTCTGAGGTAATAAATAATACTCAATTGCCTGATCCCAATTGAATACGCTCAATTTTGAGCATCAGTAGTTACCTATACTTTAAAGGGTGACTGATGAATTATTTGGAATGATGGGCAGGCTTGCACTATCTCATGGGAGCTTAGGGTTCTAGGTTCAGACGTGAGCTACGGAGCTCAGTTCGAGCCGAGCACCGAGGGAAGCTACACAGTGATCGTCTCCAAGAACAGAAAGATGGGTTTAACCGATGAACCGGTGATGACCGATGCGTTCAAAGTGGGTGAACCGGGCAAGGTCGTTATCACCATCGATAACCAGAGCTCCAAGAAGAAGAAGCTGCTCTACAGGTTCAAAACCCAACCTAGGTCCGACTGATTCTCAACAGAGAGAGATGAGAAGAAGAAATGATTTTTTATTTATTTAATTTAGTTTGTTTGTTTTTATTATGTAATTTTTGAAGCTCGAAAGAGGGTGGGGGGGTTGGGTTGTGTTTTGGTCCTGTGAGGGTTTGCTTTTGTTTTTTTTTTCCGCAAGGGGGAATTGACGATGATGTGCTTTATACAAGGATTGTGTGTGGAATCAACTTTGTTTCATTCATTTTTCTTTTGTCTTCCATCGCCACTTTATCGTAAGATGTGTGTAAATTGGCTCCAATCTTTTTTAAAAAACAACTCTTTATCTTGTTGTTATATATATATATATATATGCAAAAATTGAGTATTATCATAAAACATACTACAACTGATACTCATGGACCAAATATCAGTGATCAACAAGATCAAGATTGCATGTGAAATAAGATGTTTCTATAGTATTTATGTAACTACATGTTCGAACCCGAATTTAACAAAAGAAAAAGGCAGAGTCGTAAGGAAAAATTCACCACGTGTATGTGTATCATCTGTAACAGTAGACTGAGAATATGTTGAAATCATCCTAACAAAATCCAACTATAAATTGAACGCTGAACAAACAAAGACTGTCCAAAAAGAAACCCAGGGTGGTCCGACCGAGTTTTTATATGAAAGCACTTGCAACGATACATGTCTATAATACACGCGCACACATGAATGTGAACATACATATGAAATGAATTGGGTTCTCATAATGACTGGTCCGGAGACAGTTTGGAAAATGGATGGAATCCAGAAATATAATAAGGAAAAGGGACATGCGTGGACCGACACAACACAGACTAATATGAACGGATGCATCATGCATGTGCTTCATCATCATAACCACACTGATACGGTAGGGACACAATAAGAAGAAATATGTCGACCTCATTTCTAACTAACTAAAACGAGGGAGTCTCGATGGGTTCCATTGATTTGTCCTTCAACAAGATCGACTTGACCTTCAAAAGGAATTGGACAAGGAAGCCTTGTGGAAGAGACCATGATTAGGGTTCTTGAGATTGGCATTCTCTGTACCAAAAAGCTCTCCGACCCAGTACGGTGGACAAGTATGATCCAAGAATCAAAGACAAGAGTTGTGTGGGTGAGAGAATGATCTCATCAATTGACAAAGTCGATACCCGTAATGGAACGTCCTTCATGCAACTGAAGAGCCACATCTCCAACAACCTGTATCCAAATGAATATATATCCGGAAAAAAAAAGCTTATATATATATATGATAAAATCATCATGAATATATTTTCTTGTTACCTTGGCCATGGACCTATATGAAAGTTCGGTGACTCCAGCCACATGAGGTGTGACAATGACATTGTTGAACTTAAAAATCGGGTCGTCTGGATCCACCGGTTCAGACCATGCCACGTCCATACCTAAGCCTCCCAGATGACCCGATTCCAGATTCTGGTAAGCTGCCTCGTACTCTATGAGGTTTCCTCTGGCAATATTTACCAGAAGCCCACCCTGAAAAGGAAAAAAACGACTACTCCACTGTCACACATACACACATACACACACATAACACTTTCGTATACTTTACCTTTTTCATCGAAGATATGAATTTCTTGTTCACAATTCCAGCCTGAAAAGTATTGAGATAAACATGTAAAGCCCGAATCCACTACTTCTTGTCCAGGAAGACTCTTGAATCACAGATCAAATGAATGTTGTTCTCCTCCATCCATACGTTTTCATGTGTTTAAAACAAAGGGAAGACGGTGAATTACCGTATCTTTGTTCAGTGTCAAACAAACGACAACTATATCAGCCTTGCCTGCAAACTCATAAATGTCTTCATGCCTACCTTTCTCATCAACCAGGCTTGCTGAACACAGAACCAACAAAATCAATACCCCTTCAGGGCCACTGATAAGCAAAGCATAAAGTTTTTTTTCTTTAAAAAGAAACAAACATAGAGAAAACCATACCCTCGGAGTTCGGAGAGGCAGCCCAGCTTCGTTTAGTGGCTAAAACTCTCACTCCGAATGGCTGCAAGCGTTTGGCCAGCTCTATTCCAATGTTTCCGTATCCCAAGATAAATACCTGTACGAAATGAAACATAGAATTATAAAAAGATATAAAAGAGAACAGGTGGAGCAAAGTGATAACATCATAATCGGAAGTCAAAGCCACTCAGAATATAAAGAACCGAAACTCACAGTTTTACCGAGTAGCGTTTCACCGGCCGGTTGCCCAAGTAGTCTGTCCCTCACAGAAATCTGCATCTCATTCTGCGATCCAAATGACATGTTATGCAGCAACATAAGATGCCACGAATACAGAGAAAATAAAGCAAGATTGGAAACAAGCACCAGGTCTAAGAGATTAAGGTCCTTTACATTAATTGTTCGTTTAATAGAATAGATTATACTGCAACATGCACAATCTACGTTGTCTTTAGGTATAACAAAGAAAACATCTAGGGATAAACAAAGAGATAAGGCCACCTGTTTCTTAAGAAGGCCCAGCATCAGATACATAGCCATTTCAGCGCAAGATGCTGCATTTCCAGTACCATCACTCAAGATTCTGGCGACTTTAATCCCGTGCTTAGTTGCAGCATCGATGTCAACACCTTCACACAAAGATACATGAGGGAGGAAATGAAAGTCGTAACTTAGTTGAGCCCGTGAAGAAGAAATGGTAGATGGATGCTTTCCCGGCAGGTGTTCTGTATAATACTATAAAATGAGACAGCTACCTTCAAGACCAACACCATACTGCATGATAAGCTTCATCTGGCTGGCACGGGATATAACATTTGAATCCAACCTCATCGTCTTCACCACACACATCTGATAGTTCTTTATAACGTCAGGAACATCAGAAAGAGGGACAACATCAACCTGTAGGAAGATTCAAATGACGCAACATATATCAATACCATCTCAAAGTCATATTCTCTTAATAGGGCACAAAGTATACATATTATGATTCACCATCACTTTGACGGAAGAACCAAATGGCTTACCTGAATAAAAGGGTACTTTTGCAGGTATCCTCTAGTGTAATTGTGAGAAGAAGGAAAATGCGGGCCACAAAACAGAACACGAGTTACTTGCTTGTCATCCTTCCCGACCATCCTCTCAGGTTTAACCACTTCACTCTCACTATTGGAAAATCAAAATATTCCCACACAACATGAGAGCCATATCAGAAAAAGGATCAACCTTGCATGCTTTTTTGCTCAACTCGATAACAAGATCAGAACAATCAATCTACGAGATAGGATGGAATCAAACAGCACTAGCACTTTGTCGGACAGAGAACCGAACGCGAATTTAGATCAACACGATAAAAATCGTTAACCGCGGGATCACTCCACTGAAGCAGAGATACCTAACCACGCGTGAGATCGACATCAACATATAATAGCGAAATTTCAAGAGATTGTGAGCCGAAAACAGAACAGGGTCTATACTGAGGTGGGAAAGACGGATACAGACAGGAAGATCGCGAAATTCGACAACAGAAACTCAAAATCAAGTTCATCATCCATCAAAATGAAGAGAATAAACTGTGAGGCGATGATGGGGCTTCAGATCATAATTCAGGTCACCTGTGGAGAGAGCGACTGCAAAGGGAGTACAAGGGTGAGGCGATGACGCGGCTTCTTCTGCTACTTCGGACGATATTGAACATAACGTCACCAATCGACGCCTTACCACCGGTGGTGCAAGTAATCGTGGTTGCTTCAAGGTTTACGAAATTGCACAACTTTCCTTACATAACTAATTTATTTCACATTTACCCCGTAAATTTTAGTCCGAATAATTGGGTACCATGTGGCAGCAGTAAACATTCGATTACGTAACAAAACGGGCTGGAAATTTTTAAAAAAAAAATTATGTACGGGAATTTTCACAAAAAACCACAATTATGGGACGTCGTCTAGACAGGACTCTTATCTCCCGATCTAAGTTGATCCGACGAACATTGACCAACATTCTTTTTTCCAAGAATCAATCGATCCAACGGTGATTGCATAGCGAGAAGAAAGCCCTTGGATGTACCACCACCCACCTGATCATCACCTCCTGGAGAATGGAGCGAACCGGTTCGGTATGGGGGAGTTATAGAGAACGGTCTGCGGCCCAACCGGCCGTCTTCGTCGAACCGTTCGTAGTAGAAATAATTTCTCTCGCTCCCAAGGCTTCCACTTCTGTACCCTCTCACCGAACTTCTGGCTTGAGGCAACACCACGTTGCTTTTTGAGCTCGAGCACACCAACTGATCATGTACCTCCTGCGGTAACCTCAGCGTAAACCGCTCCAAATTAACCGGTGTACCGATCCATTCCGACCGCCTTAGCAACCCGGTAGACATCGATCGACGTGGCATGCTATGATTGGTCCAAGCCACCGAGTCAATCAACCTCGCGTCCGGAGAACCCGAAACTCGACTTCGATCGGGAAATACGTGCGCGGATTCTCGGGCCGGATCTGGTATTTGAAGAGAGAAGGGCTCGCTCGGTACGGAAACGAGATTGAGGCGGCAGAGGGGACACGTGGCGCGAGATCGGAGCCAGGCGTCGATGCAATCAGGATGGAACACGTGGCAGCAATTGGGTATCAAACGCAGCGTTTCGTCGTCGTGGAAGTCGTTGAGACAGACAGGACACTCGAGCGCTTCTTTGCTGATCCTGAGCGCCTTCACGGTCGAGTAACGAAACGTAGGGAACGTCTCGATGACAGACGCGTCGAGCCCACGCGCCGCTTGTCTTTGAGAGAGCCAGTTTCCCGGGTCGAAGGAGCGGCCGTAGTCGATGCCGAGGGCTTGCTCCAGGCAACGGCGTATATAGACGGAGAAGAACCCGAGGAAGAAGAAAACGCTGACGAGGACGATCATGAGAATGGCCAAGGTTGGGTCGAAGCTTGTTTCGTTTTGAGAACCGCCCGGGCTGGTCGCACCTGACGTGGTTTGAGCCATACGGACAGGGAAACCGCCGCCGAGGAAGAGAAGAAGAAAGAGGAGAGGGAGCTTGGTGGTGCCATGACCACGGTGGATGGCGACTGAACGTGGAATGATCCGACGGCTGAGAGAGATTCTACCTCTGGGTTTCATGGGGACCGAGTGCTTCTTGACCGGTCCATGCAAATGATGAAAACAATTCCGAGGACAAAAAGAATAAGGTGAAGATCAAAGGAGATCGTGAAAGAAAGTGAGGGACAATGTGCGATTTCAGGCTGCTTAATGGCTACACAGGTTGGTTGAATTGTCACTCGAGCAGACCAAAACATTAAATTAAAAAAAAAAAATGTCAGTATTGGAGGAGGTGGACTTTGAAGCAATCATCTCAGGGCCACGTAAGAACAAATCATACATATATGTATAAGTTGAATGATTTTGGTGATGGTGAAGAAGGCAGAAGTTGAGATGTTGTTATCTTTCAAAGCATATCCGGTAAAAGTATTGGATAATTAATCATGATCCATTTGATATATACACAAAGATGCAATTAGGGATGTACCAGTTTTAGACTAATCGCTGTTTAGGTCAACGCAGTTGTACCATGACCGCTTGATCAATCCATTAATAAATTAAATTAAAGGCATGCATCGCCCTCCACTCCTCATCACGTCGTTTTCCAACCACTGCTTATATGATGATTACCGAGCAATACTTTGATATCTACAAATTAATCATGACTATAGGCTGAGATGCGTTATAACACAGTAAAACCTAAACCCTAATAAATGATTAAAATATTCATTTGAAACCCTGAAAAAACGCTGTTTTTGTTTAAGGCCCATAGTTACTAAATGTAAGCATCAAATGGGCCCAATAACTCGTCATGGGCCGAATACCCTACTATCATTTATCTTTAAAACGGCATCGTATAATGAACATACCACTTTCAGTTAAAAACCCAAACAGAAAGGAAATGTTGTTGGAATTGCACATATGCGAAGACAGATTAATGTTATTTGTGTATACATTTTCAAAATTATACAACGCGTAAAAGTGTGCGAGTATGTATAAACCAAACATTCAAAATCAAAATTGTTAGAAAAACTATAAGAAGTCACTATTATTATTATTATTGTTGTAAAAAATTAGTATTAGTTATAGCTAAATTGAAGGTGGTTTCGGCGTTGCCTTGTTGTGTCGTCGCGAGTGGGAATTCAAACGTCTTATCAGAAGACATCTTCGCAGTTTCACTATATACATATACATATACATATGGCTATATGTAAAGCATAAAGTGTTCGTATCTTCTGTGTCGTGAGTGTGTTTCCATGGGGGGAAAAGTCGATTTCAATTTGGTCACGAGTGGGGATTCCGAGGTCTCGTCATATATAATGCACAGCTGCTGTCTATACAGAGACAACCCACACACACATATATATATATATATACATATATAACACTCAATGATATTCCTCGTTCTCCATTACATAAAGCTTTATTTAGACCATTTATATATGTTAACCAGTGTCTGAAACTATTTCGTAAGCTGTTCGACAAGGACATATCTAACCCTAGAACTATGACTCTAATGATTAATATATTGACAGAAATTGATGTTAAAATTATGCTGTAACATTTTAGATGTTGTATAAAATAAAAACAATATTCATAATATTGGGTGAATATCAAAAAGTCCATCGTCTCATCATTGCGCTTGAATATTTCTATTTAGAATCTTTTCTCATCATCTCAAACGGAAATTTAAAAAAACAATCTTATTCCTTAGAAAGTATATAATATACCTATCCAATGTATAAGGCTTTGCAAACTTCATTTCATACATGAGAGATGCATGTATTCCACACTGTTCGAGATGCATAAAATGCAAAATTAACATTACATGTATTCCATATATTTGATTACTCACGGCTTGTTGTTGATGATGATGATGATGATGATGAAAGGGTGGGCAACAAAAAAAGCATATCTTTGGAAGTAACGCAAGGGTTGGGGGAGAATCTTGAAGTCACCGAGTCGCAACAACAACAAACTTGCAACGTTTTCCCAGAATTTTATGTCCCCCAAATCCCCGGTTTTCTCGGGAAATTTCAATTATTTTTAAATTTTATTTTCAATTTTCAGAAAACTTAAAATGATAACTTTATTTTTATTTTATCTCTTTGTGCGTATGTATGTGCGCTCGATCCATTAATTTTCCAACTCTCATATAATGCAATGTGTTTATGTTTTAATGATCCTATTAGTATTATATTAGATTAGATTTAATTACCGAAATTTAATGCATGCACAATTTCGACTAATTAATAATGGTCAAACAAGTATATTTTATTTAACCCAATATGCAATAAATTAATTTATAGCTAGACATGATCCTCGAAGGCACGCAAAATTAGAATCTAGGCCGACGATCTATGTTTATTTTCTACTATTAATTTACTTATTTGGTAATGTTGACATGAATATATATGTGTCTATATATATATATATATATATTATGGATCATAGTTTTGAGAATCTTAAAAGCAGATGATCCGAACAAGTACAATCTCATGTTAGAATTCCAGGCAGCGTGCTTTAAGGTTAATCACATGCGAAATCACATAAGCTAAGATGTTGATTTTTATATTAAACGTAGATTAGGGTGTTGTTATTAGGGTGCTTAGTTGTAAATTATTTTGTTTTTTTATACACGTAAAACCCTTACACCAAGAACGATACTCTTAAATCAAATGTAATTTATAATCCGACGAAGATGTGTCCAGGGCATCACAAATCATGTATGGAACTATTAAATTATTACGTTTATTTAATTTATAATTTATAATAATAATAATAATAATAATAAAACTAGAAATGTGTGCATCTAAATGCATACGACAAGACAAGACAAAACCCTGCAACGTGTCATGGTAATATGTTCCCGAAATAGTAAAGCTGACTGTAGCCCTAGGAGTAAAATTGAATTAGTTGGTATTTCGCTTATAAAATTAATGTTAAATTAAGTCGAACAGCCATCCCGTGGTTGGGTAATGAATATATAATAATGTCCATTGCACTCATTTAGAGCCAAAACAACATCACAATTTCCAAGAAATAATCTCTCTAAAGATCATGAAATTATAAATATAAAATTGGGTGCATAATAACCTTTGATCAGCCAATAAAACCTCAGGGAATGTCGTGTTGGTATTGGAGTTTTTAGTGAATTTTCTTAGTTAATTTAATTTACTGAAACTATATATATATATATATATAACCCCATTACCTTTTAGGCACATATTTTTTTAACTTAAAATCAGGGGGTGGAAACCTTTTCCCTTTTGATTAGTTTTTTTATATGATTTTATGTAATCGAAAATGGTGATAATATCAATTAAAAAAAATCATGTACGAAATATTGGGGTTCGACAGGTTTGTATGTTTTTGGTTTGTAAACAACAGTATGTTGGTTTGGAACAAATGTCGGAACCCCCATCTTCTTTTGTAATTTACGAGCTCCAAACTTAAGTCATTTTTCGTTTTAACCCCAAACATTATTTTACGATCAAGCAAGCCCCAAAGTCTGTTAAGCGTTTAATGACTATCCCCTATTCTTTATATTAATATGATTTTGATTTACATTTTAGATTGATTTCTAGGGTTAGACAGTTACGATTTTAAAAATTGTTATCTGACATACGATATTCGAGAATTTTTTGTATTATTTATTTTATTAAAAAAATGATGTTAGATTTAAAAGGCGTTACAAAAAATGCGGAGATAAACAGAGGGTAAGGCTGTGTTCATATTTCATAAGATGAAATAATGTTGAGAATCAAACGCATAGGCCAAGATTTTTGAAGATTGAAAACAATATTAAACACTGAATTTTCTTCTATGACATACTATACAATTGGATTGCTTTAACGAAAGAGTTATAAGCAGATTGAATTGGCATAGAAGAATGTGTTATCATGAATAGTAATAATAATAATAATAAGAGTGAAAAGATTGCCAGAAACAAAGCCATTGGAAAATGGAAAAGAGCTGCAGAAAGCAACTAAGCTTTTTGAAGGGAAATAATGCTTTGGTACATAGAAGAAGAGAAGCTTGTGAGGTCACATGAACTCTCTGTTCTGAAATGTTAACAGATTCGAATATGATGACCCGCAGTTGGGTTAGGAATAAATCTTAATATGCTAATTCAATACAACCGAAATTGGAATTTGGTATGCGATTAATGAATGTGAGACGATAGTAGCATAGCTTTAGCTTTTTTTATTATACATATGTTTGATTTTCCTCCCTAGCTAGCATCTTTTTTTAACCTCCAAGTATATGCTAATTATTATTATTCATTAATTAATCCAAATCTGTCTGCATCATAATGATCAACCAACTTGTTCCATCGACTTATAGGCCCATGGGTTTGTGTTAAAGAATATAAAATGTTTTTATATTATAGTAGAGACTATAATATTTTCGGCTGCAGCTTCTTTGTCCGCTCGAATTATTTGTTCTGTCGTCTTAAAACTTTTATTCAGTAAGTAAAAGGTTTATGATTCTTTCGGGATTTCGGTGGGGGGGAAAAATACTATGACTGTAGAATATAAAAGAGAAATTGAGAAGGTTGTTGTGTTTTTTCCCGATTTTATGTCGATGTTATGCGACAAGGGCGTAATTTGGACCGATTTAGTGGGTCTTGGACTCTTGATGCCGACCCATATTTGGATTTGTTTGGCAAATTATATCATGTCGCCCTTTGATTCTTCTCTTTTTGCGGTGATTTTTGTATTTGGTGCGTCTCTATCAAAACGATTTTTTATTCCATTTATATTTAAGATGAATTTGTATTTCGCGTATGGAAATATTCGTGTGAACACGCACATGCATATAAATAATTTTATATAACATTCATATATACACACATACGTTAATCTTCGTGATGCTACCATTCTTATCAATTATCATGTTGATAAATAGAAAAAGGTAATGACATCCACCTTTAATGAAATTATATAATCTTTCGACTGTTTATATCAAAGGTTTATATCTACTATGCAATCTGTAGGGGGCAGAAAATAACTTTGCGTGGGCGTTCACACGCGCTAAACCCTATCTAAATTTTAACAAATATTTAGATAGGATTCTCTTTGTTGAAAAATGGTAATCAATATCAATAAGATTTTCTACACACTGTTTAGGGTGTGTGTATGTAAATTTGAATTTGAATCAAACAATATATCTATTTTACAAAGAAAAAAATCAAATATAATATGTGCCGATAAATCGAAGAAAATATATACTAAGCTTATAATCATTTTTTGGTAAATTAAAAAACGTTAAATAACTCCGCTAGTAATTATCTATTTCCTCGAACACGAGAGCAACCAGACGAACAACAAAGCCTGCAAACACAGAATCTTTCTTTGGTTTTGTGGACCGTTGTACAATTTCACGTGCAAAACATATACACTGTATGTATATATATACATGTATCGCCTTTTTCTCTTGTATTTTTTTTATTGGGGTTTACAAAAAGGTTGTATTCTCACTTATAGTCTCATAAGCTTCACTCCTATCGATTGAAACGCACCACACACACACACAAAAAACTTCGTTTTGATCCTCTTGTTGCATCCCCTCTCTCTCTCTCTTCTTCCATTTTCGGTGGCCTACCGGGAAAAAAATTAACTAAAGCAACCCACATAAATATAATTACAACCTTAATTTCCCTAGTGGGTCTTTGCCTTTTGCCTTGTCTCCCTCCGGAGACAAAAAGAGAGTGACAAACAAACTTTTTGTCTGAATTCTCTCTCTCTCCCTCTCGATCCTTTTTTCATTTTTTTTTTGTGTGCGAAAGGTCTCTGTTTCTCGCTAAAGATGGCGTTGGAGGCTGTTGTTTACCAACAAGATCCATCCGGGTACGTCTCCTGCAAAGACTTCCTGTTCCACGACTTGTATTTTCAAGAAGAACAGGATGGAGACACCAAGAACAACATAAAGCTGGGGCAAGGACAAGAGCAAGCCTTTTTCAGTAATTACGACACTAACCGCTGTACTGATGACAATGAAAATAGTAAGCCCCGAGCTACAGAGAATCATCAGTGTACCGACCTGATTCCTTCCTTAGAAGGGTTTGGTCCGCTCGCCATGGACCACCAGCCGCCGCCGCTTGCTGATGTGGCGGGGGGGGGGGG